TTTCCTTTTTTTTTGTTACCGTACTTCTCTCTCTAAGTTTGCTCTCTCCTGTAAGGCGAAACAGATCCAGGCATAAAACGATACATTCGATGGGTTTCAGATAGAGAAAAATAAAGTCGTAAAGTTCATCTGGTAACGTTGATTCGAGTATAACAAGACAGCACTCATGCTGAAATTATTCTTAATTAATCAACTTTACCATAAAATGAAATTAACCAGAAGGTGCTTAACTGTGATTTTTACACTCATCGGAAGTACACAAGTTCTACTCCACGCACCGATCAGCTTTAGCAAATTAAATTATGTCTTGTTAATATTAAAGTCTTTACTTTATTTTCTGTCTAATCAAGTTTATTAATAACATCAAAAGAGTTGCAATAATCATATAAAACAGCCAATCGAATGTATCGTTTTATGCTTTTTGCAAGGCAGGTCAAATCGTAGAATCGTTAGTCTTATTCGCAATAGTTGTAAAACATTTTTGATAGACTGTGTTCGTTTGTCTGGACTGTCCTTTAATGTAAACCTACGAGTTTAAATAGATTGTTGTTCAGTGTTTGAGGAAATTCTTCGTATTCAATTTTTCTTCCTTGTTTCTTTGTATACAAAATATGCCAAAAAAGACTGCCGAGATTTCATAATTGCTATAGAGTGGTCAAAAAGTAAGGAAGTATCAACTTGCCTATAGCCAAAATGCACGCAGTCCGAGTTCTATCTAATGGAGGAAAGACAAACTCTGCAGCTCTTTTTCAGTTTGAGTTATATGGTTTTCAATGTGTTGGCCAGAAACAAAATTTCCGACTCTGAGCTCGATTTTCTGGAAAAATACTTCGTTAATTGCAAAAATCTATACCACCTTCAATTCAGTCAAACAATAAACACTAATTTTTCATTATACTGTCGTTTTCTGCGTGGCATAGTTAAATTTAATTCGTTACTATATAGTCGAATGGGCTCCCAAATGACTAATATCGAAACACAGAAAGTGTCTTCTTAACGCGCAATGGAACAACAATCATACCATTCACATGATTTATGTCATACTCTATGAAAGAAAACCTTGAACCTTTTTAGGAAAGAAGAAAAATTTAGGGGAAGTACAGAATTGGCTAATACAAGAGAGAAAGAGAAAAAAAAGTCAAAAAAATTTATATTGTGTGTGATCAGTTGGAAGAATCCACAACATCTCTATTTAACAAATTCCCTTGCTTGTACTGAATAGTTTATTCAGAAAAAGACAGCAGAATATTTCGTGAGATCTCCAACATTGTGATATTCTGGTGAGTGTCATTTTGATTTTAAGTGATATGAGTGAATAGTATTCTAGCGTGACAAGTTAAGTTTTGAGCGTTAATAAGACACTTACTATGTTCCATTTTCACTTCTGCACTTATACCTACATACGCACTTTTAAGAAGTAGATTATACACTAGAAAAAAATTCGTAAAAAGCGTTAGAATTTTTTGGATAATCAAAAGAGTCGTTTTTGGAATAACAAAAGTCGTATTACAGACGATGTCTGTACTTGTATACGATCCACTTTACATAAAACTAAATGCATTTTCTAGTTTTAACCACAACCGCTTTCGATAAGACTGAAGTAACTAACTATTCTACTCACCTTTATTTATTTATGCTACTTAGATGGCTTATTCTTTCTCTACAATTGATTCACGTCTTAATAATATTCGCGACAACACGCGAGAGGGTGTCGATGATATTGAAGATCATGCTAAAAGACGTGCACATCGTGATCCTGCAGATGTCTATGAGCAAGCTTTATTAGATAAAACCAATAATGTTGAACAAACCGTTCATCAACAAGTCGATGACGTACGTCAGGATGTATTAAGACGTAGACCACAACAAGGCGATCCTAATTATCAGTATAAAGCTGAACAATACCAACAATTTGTGAGACATGCAGCAACTGGAATGGACAGCATGAAAGGCACATTTCGAACTCTCTTTTCTAGAGTTGGAGAAGTGGTCCGAAAAATTGCACGATGGGTTCGGGATAATTTGCCGAATATTATTGTTGCTATTGGCACAATATTTACTAAAGTGGTATTACCACTAATACACATTATTGGAATATTTTAAAGAAGAAGCATTTCTCTGAATAACTGACTAGATTACGTGCTTCTTTTTAAACTTTAAAAATTGTCTGTCGCTTCACAATAAAGTACATTAACGTTTGTTAGTTAAATTTAACCTCTTTTTCTAAATATTTTCGATTCAGCATGCAACTTTTTCTGCCACAGGAACTTCTATAACCTACAATCTATTTTAGATTTGCTTTTTTATTAGAAACGTTGAGTTTTACTAACGTAAGTAAAGTTTTCTAAACGTCTTCAAGGAAATTAATAGTGGGCTTCATATAATTACAGAAAAAAAAATGTCAAAAAAACAAGAGAAAATCGACAACCATAAGAAACACAATTCAGACTTAAGCGTTAATGGTTCTACAATGTATCCTGTTTTAGAAGATGAAGCTGTAAAATCAGTAATATAGCAAGCGTACCTTTTTTTCTGCCATAACCTGCTACGTTTTTACTTTATTATAGGTGCAAGCCAAGGAAAGTTCTGGCGATGGTAAACGTCCTCTGTATCGGCCAGCGAAGGAGAAATCACAAATGGCTAAGCAATCAGAACAAGCACGCGAACATGGTCATGATCGTCAAGAAAAAACTCCAATGACCGATGGAGAGAACGACAAGCGTCAACACGTCGAAACTGTTTATCACGAAAATGGTGGAAGTAGCGGTAAAGGAGGAACAGCAACGGTGAGTAAGACATTCAGACCTACCTTATTCTGCATTCAAGTTGGAAGAACAATGAGACGATACTCTATACAGTTGAAGAGCATAAGAATTAGGATAAATTTGTAAACCTGTACTGATACTTTAGCTATAATTTTTGATAGAAAACCATTAATATGACAGTGTTTCAACACTACCATTCTTCTTTCCATTGAATGAATTACCACATTTCTTCGGCCAAGAAACATTGACATAATAGCAACTGAAAACTTTATATTGAGCAGTTCTACAGTGATAGAAATCTAACTCGAGTAGATTGTGAAATAGTTCTTGATTTCTTTTTTTTGTTGACCATATTCTACCTTACGGTTGGCCTATTCTTTTCTTACTTCTTTACAGCGTACAATAACAATGATGCAGAAAGATATTCACCGAGCACTTCCTATACTTGTTTTACGATTAGAAAATCAAAATCAACAAGAAAAAGGCCGTCATAAGCGTAATATGAAAGATATGAGTGATAAAGAACAGGAAAAATATTTTAATGATACAATTAATGATTTTGAACGTATGCTAATAAATCACGTTGACGAATTACGAGATACAATAATGAGTTCACGACCAGATCCAGAAGATCCTGAATATTTAGATAAGAAGAATTTATATGTTGAATTGGTCAAAGGCGGTACACTGATGATGGAACATTTAAGAAAAACAATCACAGATTTATTAACACGATATCGATTGTATCTAGAAGAGTTATGGGAGACAATAACAAGCGGAAAAGATCCAGCACCAGTTACGAAAAAGTTTGAAGAACATGTTGATCGTTATATACAACAGAGATGGGACCCAATATTTGATAAAATGGATCAGCTTGCAGCTGAAATTGAAGGAAAACATAAGAAAGAAGCTTCTTAAGAGCAGTTATTATGAAGAATCTGCATTTACATTACTGATTCTTTTATCCTCTTCATTTGTAACAGTTTTTATTGTTCGAAAATAAGAATTTATCTGTCAAAATTAATCTTATGTTTTCTGATTTCGGAAATTGATTTCAGCTTTAGTGAGAGATTTTGGTTTAAGTCTGATTATATTGTTTCTACTTTCAGATTATTGTCGTTTATTAACGCAAAAAGTGCGTAAGAAGAATATAGACTCATCGTAAGTGTCAATTTGTGAATTTTCTGCTGCAAACATTACGTCATGTTTTCTCTTACGTTTTTCTCGGATTAGTATTTGTATAGCAAAGATGTTTGTTTATTTAAATAATATAACTTGCTATCACAGACATTCTGACGGCAAAACTGTTAATAGAGCGTTTCTTATGTTCTTGTAGGAAATGTGGCCGAACCGAGTCTATTACGACGTTCCTTACAACACGTATACTTATCAGACACCCACCTACCAAGTGCCTACTTATTATAATTACACTCCCTATCAATACGGAGATCAGTTCTATCAACAACCGCCATCAGATTATTATTATCAACAACAACAGCAACAAGCTTACTATGAGCAGCAACAGAGACAAGCGTACTATGAAGAACAACAGCGACAACAAGCTTACTATGAGCAGCAACAGAGACAAGCGTACTATGAAGATCAACAGCGACAACAAGCTTATTATCAGCAACAGGAGTATTATAGACAACAGCAACTGGAGAAAGAGGAACGAGCACGTCAGCAAGAAGAACGTCTGCGGCAGCAATTGCAAGAGCAACGCCGACAACTTACCTTCACTCCTAAACCACAAATAACATACAAACAGCAGAGGCCAGTTGTCGACAATACCGCCGCAGAATATCGTGCGATCGAAAGAGATTATGAAAATAAAACAGATGCTGTCGATTCCTTTGTTCAGCAGAAGGCTAATAACTTAGGCAACTTTGGTGGAAAGGTACTCAACCAAATGGATGTACTAAAAACCGAAGGAGAAATGGATGATGTGGAAGCACTACTAAATAGTAGTTCAGAAGGTCTCAAATCCACAGCCAGTGAAGCGTGTGATCAAATAAGAGCCTATGATGAAAGTATAAAACCAGTTCCAGGTGAAAAACACTATCCGAAGAAAATGGAAGAATATAAAGTTTTTCGTGAACATGCACTAGACGGAATCGAAATCCTTGAAACTAAATCAGAAGGTATTCTTACAAAGTTAATGAATACATTTCAACGTGCTAAATCGTGGATAGCAAACAAAGCTAAACAAGTTTATACAGGAGTTAAAAGTTTTTTTAAAGGAGTGTATGGTAAATTAAAAGGGTGGTTCTCCTAAGACATATTCTTTTTTAAACTTCCGAAAGAAGCAGTTTGAGTTCTGCAATCGTAACAAAACGTTATGCACTTGCAGACATAAGAAGGTGTGCCCATGAAGTTAGTGTTACTTTAAAGAATGAGTTTTCCGTCTTCACTGTTCGATCTTTCTCTTAAAGGAAGACTTTTTTATGGAAGAACCTTCTTTTTCTTTAACCGTTTCTTACCTTTATGCACGATTTTTCCCACGCTAATTCTAAATGAACTATGCTGAGTTCTGTCGGGCTGGTAGAATAAGATCCTGCGTTCTGTTTAAATTTGACATTTTAAGGTTGACATTTTCCTTTAGTTCTTTCGCCTTACCATATTCTGTTTTTCTAATACCATACTTCAACATGCCGCCTTATTTTTCTTCTGTCTAAATTGCGTCGATTTTATTATCTTACTTGTGGTAGTTGTAAAAGACGTAAGATTGTTTCCATTTTAATTAACGAAATGAAAAAGAATAAAGAAGGGGGCCCGATTTTCCACTGCATTTGGCCCACTGCTTTTTCGACTTCGTTATGATCACATATTGTAGAGATTTTACACATTTTGAACTGCATATCAACCATTATAACATTATCGAAACTTCGTAAAATAACTTTTCTGAGGAGATACATAAAGCATATCGGTGTTTAACAAAAATGATTTTGCTCAAAATCTAATATAAAGTTACGGGAAAGCTTGATATAGAAAAATAGCCCTTGAAAAACTCTACAATATTCTGATTAAACAAACCCTACATATCATTGGCAGACGGTCCATCAAAACTCCTGAAATAGTGGTCTCTGGAAAGCCACAATCTCAAAAAACCAGATCCTGCAGCTCAATCTAGAAATCCTTTGCAAATACATCTGTCATGTAGAGCAAACATTTTTGAAGAAAATGAGACGTCTCCCAGCTCTCTAAGACATTTATCCATGGAGCAGCATTCAATTTATGCAAGGCCCCATAGCAGCAAAACTAACGGGAAAACATGAACATACGCCCATACGGCCTTCTATAAATTGAAGGCTACTCCATGAATAAATATCATATAGAGCTGGGAGACGTCTCATTTTCTTCAAAAATGTTTGCGCTACATGACAGATGTATTTGCAAAGGATTTCTATATTTTCAGGATATTTCCAATTTCTAGTTTGCTTATTTATGAACTTGCTTCTCAATTTTTCAATTATTTCTTTAAACTGTTCCGGTTTGTTTGTTTTATTGATACAGTAAACGAGAAACATCATTTTCTCTCCTTTCTTTTTCTCGTATTTTTCAGAAAAAAAGAAAGGAGAGAGAATGATATTGATGTATATCTACGCATAGAAAAATATATTCTACGCATCCGATTTTTCTACGCGTAGAATATAGTCTACGTCTACGTTCTACGCATTTCATTATTTTTGACGGCTTCCCTTATTGTCTCACAACCGTTCAATTGCTACAAAAAATACATAGTCTATACTTTTTGTTTGAAGAAAATTGTAGAAAACGAATAAGTTGCTGCAAGAAAGATGAGTTCAGCATCGGAAAAACCGAGTAAGTAGACATTTTGTTTTCAGTGATCTGTATAGGATTAAAATGACACGAAACTTAATGTGGTAATGCGCCTCTTCGGTGATCGCTATCTGATCGATATAATGACACAAGACGCGGATAAAAGTAGTCTTGTACCTCATAAGGTTACGTGACACGTCGTATAGCGATAATTTTTTGCGAACCTCAACCTAGCCACCGTTCAAACAGCGCGCTACTGGACGTCTCCACATTGCCGATGCTGTGGTAGAGCGGGAGGCAGTTGCTTATGATGTCAGGCCAATAGTAACCATCTGACTTTTGGTCGTTTATTGACTTTACCTGATTTAGTTGAATTTACATGACTTTGCATGACTTTTGACTTGACTTTACATGATTTTAAAGCGACTTTAGCTTCGTTTCGATGACTTCAAGCGACTTTTACTGATTTTACATGACCTTTGGGGACTTTTGACTTTAATTGACTTTATGTTCTTAAAGTCGGTTGCTTGGCCCTTGAATCAGACACTTTTGTGTCTAACAAGCCAGCGAATCAATGGGCCTCTATCATTGGTTTATTTGTGCTGGATATCATAAGCCACAAAGCTTACAGATCGATTGTTATGAGTGATTTCGAATTACTAAGTACCTAACAGTACATAACAGAGTGATGTATAGCAATAATCTTAAAGGACGAGCTATCAGACGTATATAAGGTTAGAGTTTGTATATCGCCCCCAACATAAAAAGAATGTTAACTAGAAATAAAAGCGAAGACTATCCCCGAATAGTGGAAGCTTTGATCGTAAATAACCCTTTTTTTATTGTTATGTGCATTTATTTATCCTCATAATCAATGATTATTGTATGAACTCATGAAAACGTGAAACTGAGTAAAAGAAATAAAGAAAGATTTAAAAAAAAAAAGGAAAAAGACAATCAACAGTGATGACGCGACCTATGGGATGTGGGTTAAACCCCCCCCCCCGTAATAGAAGCCCCCCCGTATTAGAAGCCCCCTCCGGAGCAATGGAAGTGGAAGGTGTATTAGAAGCCCAGGGGCTTCTATTACGTCGAAAAATAATTTAAATTTTTTAAACGACACATTTGATCGACACGCGTTTTTTTAC